TATGCTGAGGCTCATGGGTAGATGCATGTTAGTAAACAACTACGACTGCATACGCAGGTAGCGACTCCTCCACTTCAACTTTTGCAAACTATTGGGGCAGCAAACTTGCAAATGAATTGGCTAACTGCTTTGATTTTGACTGAGGTTGGCTTTCGAATCTCGCTGGCGCTGTCTTCTGGTCACGCCCACTCTGGACGAATCCTATATAACAGTAGGGGATGATCGTCATACTTTATGAGCTAATCAGCGACTAGCTCTGAGTACAGTCCTGTAGGTTGGCCTTCTTCCGCTGGTCATGGGGACCGAATGATAATCTAATCAGCGACGGTCTCACAGTTGGATGTCGATTTCGCTTTCAAATATACTAGGGAAAGTGTTCCATGTTTTTCATGTAATGAGGTGTTTGTATACAAGTGATTGTCCACGCAAAAATGACGAATGAGGTCGATCGTTTTATCGGTTGGCTTAATGTTACCCCAATGAATCGTTTGGATGTGAAAGTTTGTTATTTTTTCTCTGATTGGTAGAAAACTGTTTCTCAACTTGTCTCTTTGTTTAGTGTCAAGCAGTGTTCAAGATGGCTACCCCTGTATAGTAAATATCGGTGGGTTAATCGCATTTATAATATTATCACTTGTATGTTAAATGACTGTTGACTCAGACTGATCAGGGAAACTACTTATACATTATAACGCACTATGTAAAATCTGTCCCCTAATGCAATATAGACTCGTCCAGAGTGTACGCGACCACAAGTCCTCGCCATCGAGATTCCAAAACCAACTGTTTAGTCAAAACCCAAGTAGTTAGCCAATTCACTAGCGAGTTTGCAAATTGGCTGACCCAAATACTTCTGCTGTAATATCATTTCCCGAAGTAGCATTCAAAGTCAAGAAATCAAAATTCACGTCGTCAGGGCAATAATATCAAGGACAGAAAACTGGCTTTAATATATACCTTTCCAAGCATTACATCATGCGTAAAAAAAAAAAAAAATTCAGAAGTATCCAATGTTATACATGAATTTATAGCCCTGATGATAAAAAGTGCCCTCTGTGTTCACTTACTTCATAATGGAGGCTTCATTAAGAAACTCTATTCTATCTCTAATTGAAGCGTTTTCATTGACTGTTTTCACGGCAACTTTGCGTTTGTCTTCATCATCTTGTATATGCTTAGCCTCGCCTTCATACACCATTCCAAATGACCCTTGACCTAGCTCCCGTATTAGGTGGATTTTTTCCCTGGGCACCTCCCATTCATCAGGAACGTATACTGCAAGGTAACGGCAGAGATGTCAAACTTAAAATGCCATGATCAACAAGCAGGACATGTTGAAAGAACATGTAAACAAAGTCTTGCGAGACCCATTTTGAACATGATGCAACACAACACGACGACTGACATTTTAATGAGGAACACATCAGCAATGAGAATTCCATATTGAATTAGCATTCTGTAGCACTGCAGTTGTGTTCATGAGTATCAAGCTGTGTATAATTTGATGACTATTGCGGAAATAGATGAAATAATGCTTACCATCCGCAGCACTGAGATATTCTGGGTTATATGAGGCATACAACACACCATTTGGAACTCCATTATTCATGTACCTACAGAAAAATTACCCTAATTTTATAAAAACTACACATGTAACAATACTAGTCTTAGACCAAAAGACAAAAAGTTCCTGTTAATTTGATTTCTAAAATTGATTTTTTTTTTATGTCAGTTCTGGCCTTGAAATATTCTTTTGTTTAGATTTTTCCGATATTCTTTATTTTGAATTTTTTTCCATTGTTTTCTAAAATTCTGATAAACTTTGGGGGAAAAAATTAAACAGTCATGACATTAATCATTAACACAAAATGGAAGCCATTTTGAGAAACAAATGTACATCAAAGGTTTTTCTTCCAGCCCACAGCTACAGTGATTGTGATATCGACAAGTGCAGAAGACTTACCTTTTCCTTACATACCAGAATCCAAAGAGTCCAAGAATAATAAGTATAGTTACAACACCACCTACAATACCTCCAATAAGGACCACCATACCATCAGAATAGGGGGATTTTTGTATTACCGGCAATTCAGTTGGCGGTTCATCTGGAACCACAAAGTATGTGGATGCCGTCCAAGATCCATTACCAGATAAAGATGATGCCCGTACACGTGCCGAATAATTACCAGCTTCTAAGCCGCTTAATAAATATCCACTAAGTGATTTGTATTGCGAATAAGATATACAGATTGACTACATTTGCATACTGAAAATAAACGTATGGAGAGGTCAGAGGTTACATTCTGTCTTTATTTAAGTATTTACTTGTATATAAAAGAATGACGGTC